CATGAGTGTATAGCAGAGAAGAGGTAAGCACCAATGTCCTACAGATGAGTGGATGCCATAGTGGAATCACACAGACCCCTCAAAGGAGCCTAAGGCATCTGTGAAAGCAACACGCTGCCATAGTCAGCCATCCCCTGTCCCAGTTCTTATTCCTGATTAAACAGGCTGGGCTGATCAAACTGTGGAATGAGGAGTTGCGATGAATGATGTGAAGGAAACTTAAGGGCCAGAAAGGGTTTTTTCAAAGAGAATTTTCCTTTTGAAGTATTTAAAGGAACAAGTTTTATCTGTGTGTTTCTTTTTGTCATTCCTAACAGCGTCAATTAAGGGATTACAGAGTCACAGAGCAGAGCACAGTCAGAGCAGCAGCTGCAGCCTGGGAAAAACACCTCAGTTTTGTTTTGCTGTAGGGACAGGAGACCCTTTTCATGTGAATGAAAAGAAGATAAGAGAGACTTGTGTTAAGAGGTCTCAGTACTGACAGAGAACCATTGGCCACAAAAGTATCTTGTTTAATCACCATGGATAAAACTTGTCCACTCCAAGTGGCCTTCTTTGTTCTGCCATCATCTTCAAAGTTGGAAATTTGTGTCAGACTCCTGAAAACCCCCAGTTTCAGGCCTCAGATGGAATGGAAGCTTGGTAGTCAGGAGGAGGTGGCGTCTATCTTTTGAGAAGTCGAGTAAGAATTTAAGGACCATTACCTCAGACTCTGACTGCTATGATGTTCATTAACTACAACCAGTCAGATCCTTTCTGAGGAGCAACGACAATTTTTCTCTACTGCTTTTCCCAGAAGTCTAACTCTCCTGTACAGATATCCAGAGGCCATTTAGGAAAAACAGCTTCTGTCTATGGATATAAAATCTGGACCTTTTCTAACAGGCCCCAAGACCTTAGCATCACTGACACCAGGTTAAAGGCACCATTCTGACCTTGGAACCCAGCACAGATTGCCCAACACCTGCAAAGACCTAAATCTTCAAAAACCTAATCCATAGTTCTAGGATCAAGGAAAGCCCTTAAATGTAATAATCTTGCTTTTTTGGATTCTGTAATTTTGCTTCTCAATAACTAACTGCTCTTGTTAACCAAAGTGTCAATCAGGATGTGGTTTTCATGCATGAAAGAAAAAGAACCATGAAACTTGGGGCTGTACGATCTGGACAAGGTTCCCACGCAGTTGCCAGCCAGCAATACATACTTTCTATCTGCCTTTAAGAGTGCCTGTGTGTTCTCTACTGAAAAGACCACACAACACTTTTATCTGTGAGGTACTCACGGTAACTATATCTGCTTGCAAGAAGATAGTCATTAGCTTCTTAAGGTTGTCATGACAAAATGCCACAGACTGGGTGCCCCCACACAACAAAAGGTTGTTTCTTCCCCTGAAGCCTGAAATCACAATACCACAGAGCCATGTGGCTCTAAAGCAGAATCTACCCTTGCCTCTGATTCCTGGCAGGCGTTGATGTTCCTGGGTCTCTTGCCTGTCACATGGTCTTCTGACTTCCTATAAGGGCCTTGGTGTACAAATTTATAAGGATACCTGTGGGTGGGTTTGGGGCCAACCACAGCCCAGTATGACCTAACGTTAACTCGATTGCATCTGCAAAATTCCTGTTTCTAATAAGGTCACATTGTCAGGTATGGCCTTGAATATATCATTTTAAGGGAAACAATTCAATGTGCAATAGATAGGATATAAGATTAGGATTAAATTTCCAAACATGCCGGGCGGTGGTGGCGCACGCCTTTAATCCCAGCACTTGGGAGGCAGAGGCAGGCGGATTTCTGAGTTCGAGGCCAGCCTGGTCTACAGAGTGAGTTCCAGGACAGCCCGGACTATAAAGAGAAACCCTGTCTCGAAAAACCAAAAAAAAAAAAAAAAAAAAAAAATAAATTAAAAAAAAAAAAAATAAAAAAAAAAAAAAAAAATTTCCAAACATATAACAATTTGTTACTAATTAATAAAGGGGTGCTCTGAGGGGATTTGGGGGTGCTCAGAAACATTAGAGGTGGTGTGGAAGATGAGGTTTGTGACTACATCTTAGGGTTCTCTTGTTTCTCATGTTCTACCTCCCCACCCCCAGGACTGTAAATGAGGCATTTCTGAGTGAAAGACAGAGTTTAGTGTTCTTTATTAAAATTGCTAGTCAAATGAATGTCCCTTTTAGTTTGGAATTTCCAAAGCTAAAAAAAGCAAGACTCCAGGAGATGACATCTCAGTGAGTAAGAGCACTTGCTGCTCACACATGAGTACCTAGGACCGAATCTGTAAAAGCCACATAAAGAGCTAGCTCAGTTGTCCACAAGCCTGGACAGTGCTGAGGGAGAAGACGACAGGATGACCTCTGGGACCTGTTGGTTGGGCCCCAGCCTAGCTTCAGGTTCAGCAAGAGGTCATGTCTTAAAAGGGACAAAGGCAGAGAGTGACACATGGGATACTGATGTCCTCCTCTGGCCTCCCTACAGAGACAGAAGTGTGCCTGTGCCTGCACATACACACAGACACACACACATGCGCAAAAGGATTTACCTGTTTCCATTTTATGTTATTATTATTATATATTATATATATTATTATATACATTATATATTATATACACATTATATAACATATTACTATTATTATTTTGCCACAGATAGATTGGTAGTTTTTCTGGCAAAGAGGGGCTCCAGTCTGCTCCAATAATAAATGGAGAGTAACTAGAGTACATTCATAACCTCGTGAAGGAACACTCAATAAACTCCATCCAAAGTACTCAGAGGGCCCTTGAGGTTCGATGCTCAACCATGACTGGCCTACATGGCTTCCACCAGGATTGTGTCACTGGCAGGTATGACATGTTTTAGAAGTGTCCTCGGCAAACCCTCCTAAAATTAGCCTGCTCATGTTAATCCAATACAATTGCCAAGTGATTTCTGCTATTGTATGTAACATCAAGAGAAGCAGTTTTGTTAAATTCCATATTCAACTTTTTGGCATTATCAGTTATCTTCAAAAGACCCAAGTATTTATCTGCAGTGAGAATCCTAATTCTCCCCACTTGCTTTTTGTTGTATTTCGAGTCAGGAGCTTGTCTCTGACAGCTAATAATGCCTTCTTTGGGTGTGTTATTGTTTTCTTGGGGTTTTTATAGGCATCCTTGTCTTGGTTAATGGGGCCATTTTTTGACACAGTGGTCAGCTGATGTGTTTTCCTGAGGTTCAGGGGGTTTGCCTTTGAATGCTTTTCCACTTAAAACATTTAAGAATTATACTTGTGTATGTGTGTGTGTACGAGGCAGGAGAGATGGAGAGGGAGAGGGAGAGAGAAAGAAGAGACAGGGTGGAGAGACACAGTGGGGAGAGAGAGCGTGTGGAGGTGTCATAATGGGTGTGCAGAGGTCAGAGGGTGACTTGTGGAATTGGTTCTCTCCTCTTACCATGTGTGTCCTGGGGATTGGTAGCAAGCGGCCTTCACTTGCTGGGCCATCTTACTGGCCCAATCTTCCACTTTTATGGTGGTTTCCCACTTAAAAATATTTTTATTTTTTAGTGATGAGTGTGTGCGTGTGTGTGCACGCGCGTGTGCGCCGAGGGTGGGGTTTCACATGCTAGAGCAGGTGCCTGAGGTGTCTAAAAGAAGGTGTTGGATCCTTGCAGCTGGGTTGCAGGCAGTTGGGAGCCACCTGACACGGGAGCTAGGAACTGAACGTCTGTCCTCTGCAAGCTAAGTAAATGCTCTAACTGCCAAGCCGTCTCCAGTTCCTCACAGTAGACTTTTCCCCTTTGATTAAAAACAAAGCAATGAAATGGGGAGAGTGGTGAGCCTGGTGAGCCTGGTGAGCCTGGTGAGCCTGGTGAGCCTGGTGAGCCTGTAAATCCCAAGTACCTACCTGAAGTTGATCATCTCCAGAACACACATGTTGAGACCTGTTTTGTAATCCCAGCACCAAGGAGATGCCCTCTAGCCGGTCAACCTAAGCTACTTGGCCAATTCCAGGCCAGTGAGAGACCCTGTTTCACAAAACATATGGATGGGATTTCAGGAGTAGCACCCAAGATTGTCTTTGGGTTCCACAGACATGGACACATACTTACACACCACATATATACATACACACATATGCATACAAGGTCTTCTAAGGTCTTAGTTTGTCATTCCTTGCTAAATAAAAGATACTACTGATGTAGATAAAACCTCTTTGAAGTCAGGAGGTGGAACACACCTTTAGTCCCAGCACTCAGGAGGAGACAGGCAGATCTCTGAGTTCGAGGCCAGCCTGGTCTACAGAATGAGTTCCAGGACAGCCAGGGATATAGAGAGAAACTCTGTCTCAAAAAGCCAAAGATGGAAGGAGGGAGAAAGAAAGAAAATCTGTTTCTAGTATTATAGACTTCATGGAAGGAAGACACATCAAAGGTTGGGTGTGTGGCTCATGTTTGTAATTCCAGTTCTCTGAAGGCTGAGGCAGAAAGAGTGCTGCTAAATTCCAGGCCAGCCTGGACTGCATTTAAAAACCACCACCACCACTACCAGAAAACAAAACAAAAACAACAACAAAAAACAATCCAAACAAACAAACAAAATGAAAACAAAATCAAACCCTGTCTTAAAAACAAACAAAACATCAACTCTCAGCTTAAATCTTTGTTCTTTTCCACTTCCCTAGCTGGTATATGTAAGCATGAACAATTAATTTAGCTGTTTGAGTAGATTCAATTTCTAAAAATATTTTGTATTTCAAAGGTAAATTCAGGTTTGTATCAGCATAATCTACTTAATAACATCCAATTTCTATTTTTGAAAAGAAAGCATTCACAGATAAATTTAGGTCAGGCTTGTTTGAGAGACATGGGAACCGATCTGTATAAGATATGGGGCACAGGTGACTGCAATACAGACTTGAGCTGTTGTGCACAACCTTTGGGCAAAGAACAGGAAACAGCTGGCTTTAGTGTTTTACATAGACAGTGATATTTGATAGAGAAAACAAACTGTTGCACGGAATGTGGGCAGCTATTTGAGAAACGCCTCATTTCCTCCATCAACAGAAGTCTGCACACAGGCTGGAGAGATGGTGAGATGGCGTCACGGTTAAAAGGATGACTCAGCAGCTGCCCTTCTGGTGGTCCTGAGTTCAATTTCTAGCAACCACATGGTGACTCACAACCATCTGTGATGGGATCGGACACCCCCTTCTGGTGTGTCTGCAGACAGCAACAGTGTACTTACATACATAAAATAGATACATCTCTCTCTCTTTTTTTTTTAAAGGACTCTGTACACAAGAACTGAATGGAGAACCTGTGACCAGCCAGCTGAAGCTTCCAGATGTGTGCCTACTGATGCCTAGCTCTTAAATGAGGTGACTGTGTCTTAGTTACTGAACCAAAGGAAAGTCCTTTGAGAGAAAGCTGATTTCATAAGGGTAGAATAGAGCTTTCCAGAAGCTAGGGAGGACACGGGGGGGGGGGGGGTCTGGGAGGTGAGGTGGAACGAGCAGCACGTACAAGGTAATAGCTCAGAGAAGTAAGTTTTGGGGTTCTATTACAGTTGTACACTGGACTGAATAACGGCACTTGATTCTCAATTTCAAAATAGCTAGAAGAGTGGACTTCCAATGTTCCCATCGCCGAGCAATGATAGATGGGGGCTGGAGAGACGCCTGCGCAGTTAGAAGCAAGTACTGCTCCTGCAAAGGAGCTTAGTTTGCTTCCCAACACCACACCGGGCAGCTCATGACTGCCTGTAACTTCCGCCCCAGGAGGAGTGATACCTTCTTCTGGTTTCCCATTCTACCCGCAGTCAGGTTCATAGTCACCCCTGCCCACACCTATATGTGATTAAAAATAAGTCAAAAATCTACAAAGGAAATGATAACGGTGATATAAATGCTAAATACTTGGTCTTGGATCATTTTTCCATTGTGTGTGTATACTTGCAAGTATCACTCTGTACATCATTAATACCTATAATTGTGCCAATTAAAAACAAACTAAGAGAAAAGCAAATGGGCCTCAGATGAGTCTCACATAATTGATCAATACTCCCCGAATTCAGATGGCTGATGAACAACAAGGGAAAAGGGCTTATGTTAATGAGGTACCCCAGTTCAGGTGCCACGTTAGAGCTGCATTTAGGTCCCAGAAGGCTTTGTGTTTATTTTCCTAGGGTAGAGGCCCAGGAACCTAGGACATAGTTCATGGAAATGGGATTTGATGTGAGAAAGGTTAATACCAGTTTCCTGTGACGTAGAGCCCCACCCTAGGAATGCTCAAAGTCATTTTGTCAGTCTGGGAGAATTGGGGATGCTTCTCCTTTTAACACCAGGAGATTTGCCTTCTTGCTGCACAGAATGCCATAGGCAAAGGGATTTTTGTTGTTGTTGCAGCTGATTGTAATTCCTCTTTGAAGGGTTTATGTCTCTCCCCAGCTTAGGTCTTTAATAAATATGCAGAAACCACTCTTAAACCTTTACTCGTTTTTTTTTAAATAGCAAAACGTCATCTACACATATTAGAATAGACTCATGAGGATTCCTAACCCCTTAAGTTCCCAATTAAGAAGCGGAGAGAAATATACCGTGAGAGGAACGTTAATAAATGCCAGAGTGAAAACAGGCCAGGTCCATTGTTGGTTTTCCCACGAGAAGGGAAATAAATATTGACTACCTGGATCTAACGGACATTAAACCCATCCCGGTAAAGAGAGCGGCTTCAGGCAGTATTGAAGACAAAATGGAATTTGGATTAAGGGTCATTGGGAAGAAGGAATCACAACTTTATGTATTGTCTGTGGTTTTGCATGAGTCACCATCTATGCCCACGAGGCTTCTTTTCCTGGACAACACCAGAGTATCAGAAGGGCTGGTGCAAGGAATAACGAGTCCCCGCTATGAGATGCACAGTGGGCTGCAGCCCTTTCCAAACTCTGTGTTTTCAAGGGGATTGAACAGGAACGGGTGAGGATTTAGAAAAGTCAGTTCACACTCTGAGGGATTTGCTCCTTAGAATTCTTTATCAGAATTTTATTTTTTATTTTTATTTTATTTTATTTTATTTTTTGTTCAGAGTCATCAAGGTCCTGATACAATTTTTCAGATTGAGATTGGTTAAACTTTTCTTGACTAGGAAAGTACTATCTAAGTTATGCTATTGAGAGAGATAGGGTGTGGCTCAAAAGGAACACACTTGCCTAGTGTGCATGAAGTCCCGGGTTCTATCTTCAGCCTGATACATGAATTTCATTACTGGAAAGAAAGAGAGGACACAGCTTGGTGCTAGAGCCTCGCCTATCGTATATGAGTGTGTGGCTTTGGTCTCTGCATGCTCAACTATATAAACACATTCATAAAGAAATAAACAATATAGAAAATAGGTTGCACTATTGAAGGACCATGCATGGTAGAGTCCATCAGCAAAGCATTTGATGTAGCTCTTCTGTTTATGTGAAGAATCCCATCCAATAAAATTGACTAATGTGGTATCATATAGAAGGTTGTGTTGGCTGGTCAGGAGTCACAGCCACAGATGAGGAGAGGGAGGGTCTGATCCTTGTTTGAAATCCCTGAACAGGTTAATGTTTCCAAGGAAGGTGGGTGAAGAGCACAGGAGAATTGAGAGCAAAGCAGCTCTTGCATGTACCAGAAAGGCTTGCTTCTGTTGTTGCTTTGTTATTGAAGCCAATTCTCCTTGACGAACTCATGGGATCACTGGAACTTAACCGACCTCAAGGCCTCTTCTTTATTTTGCTTTGGAATAACAAGAAGGATGTGGCGACTCGGTTTCTTCGTTATTTTTCATTTTTTCCTCTTTTTCCTTTTCTTCTTCCTCCTTTCCTCCCCACTTTCTCTTTTCCACTCCTTTCTTTATAAAGTCTCACTGTAGAGCCTAGGCTAGCCTTGAACTCATGATGCTCCTGCCTCAGCTTCCTCAACATTGCTGGTATTATAGTACCACCACATCCTTCTTGTGTAATAGTTTTCTGGAGGTTAAAATACTGCATCCAGCAGGTGTTGTACCTGTTTGCAAGCCCCAAGAGGATAAGCCATAGAGCCCTTTCTGGTACATGGGTGCAGCTTGGGTTCAGCTGCAGGTCAAGTTCTCAGGCTTTTTTTTTTTTTTTTTCTTTTAAGATGGAGTCTGGTCCCAAGATAGAGTAGGTTTGGCCTCTCACAGGGAAACTGTTTAAGCAGGAAAGTAAACAACTCAAAATAGCTTCAGGGAGGCCCTCAAACTGACCAGACTTACCTCCCAGCCAGAGTAAACAGTTAAAAACAGAGTTTCCTGAGACTGGAGGAAAAGAGATGCAGAGAAGAGTTTCAGACTAGCCAAGCTGCAAAGACTCTCAGACCAGATCAACTGCCTGAAAGAAGCAGAGCCAAGCTGCCTAGAAGAGGTTTAGACCAACTGAGTCATTTGGAAGGGACACTCTAACCTGTTGAGCTGCCTGCAGGGTACCCCAAGTTTCTGTCTATGTGGCTGTCTATGAGTCATATCTGTTCCCATAAGTACCTCCTTCACACATATTCCCATAAGCAACCCTAATAAAACTCACTGGGTCACCAAGTGGACTTTGGTCTGTCATGGGTTCCCCACCTTGTCTTGGGAGAGTCGACGTATGTTGTGGTTCCCCAGGAAAAGTTTTGTCACACAACATCCTCTTTCAAATTTAAGGTCTCTTTTTTATTTAATTGTTGTTACACGCATATACATGTGTATATATGTATTCCTAAAAACACACGTAGAACATGCTCAATCTGTATAATGTCACTTGTATGTACATTTTTGGTGCTGTCCATTTGGTATTGGACAGTCAGTTGGTGTGCTCTTCCCTGGGAAAGAACATTTCTTTTGCTCTCAGCGTTCCTTAGCTTCCTGTACTCCTCTGTACAGGCTTGAGACCTAATTTTTCTTGTTTACTCATTCATTTATTAATCTATGCTGTTTCCAGTTATTTGTTACCACAGGAAATGGATATAAACGATAACACATCGATTCTCATGGAAACGTGTTTTCACTTAACTAGAGCAATGCCCAAGAGTGCAACTGTAGAATCAGGTGGAAGTTGTATCTATGTCTAGTTTTTAAGTGAACTAATTGGTGTGTGTTGGTGTGTGTGGTGTTGTGTCTATGTGATATATGAATTGTGGTATGTGTGTATGGTGTCTGTGTGATATGTGTATTGTGGTGTATGTGTGTATATGTGCATACTCTCTTGGGAGCATGCATGCTACAGCGTGTATAAGTCAGAGGACAAGTTTGTGGAGTTGGTTCTGTCTTCTTTACATGGATTCCGGGGACGGAGTCTTTATCCTCTGGACCATCTCTCCACCCAACACGTCTAGTTTTATAAGAAGCTGCCGAGCTATTTTCTAGACTCAATGTGCCATTTCCAACTGCCATCGGCCACGTGTGTAGTGTCTCTTAATCTCCGTCCACATACGGTGTTTCAGTTTTCTGATATGTGTGTGCACAATTGCATATCGCTGTGTTTTATTATTTTTTTTTGGGGGGGGAGAATGCTGGAGATTTCTAGGGCCTTGCATATATTAAGCATTCCTTTAGCTCTAAGCTAAGCACCCAGCCCTCAAATCATGCTGAACTTCTTCTCATGTTCTCACTAACTTCATACCACTGCTCTCCGTGACATGTCTGTTCCTATCTTGTGCTAAGATATTTTTTAAAAGTATATGTTTTTTAGGGTGCAGAATGTGCACACCGCAGCATAAGTGTGGAGGTCAGAGAACAACTGGCAGGAGTTGCTTCTCTCCTTCCACCATCTTAGGTCCAGGGATCCAGCTCAAGTCCTCAGGCTTGGCAGCAAAACCTTTAACTGCTGAGCCATCCTGTCAAGTCAGATTTTGATGGGATCAGTGGGGTGAATGGGTGTGTATGTGTGTATATCTATGTGGTATGTGTATTATGGTGTGTGTGATTGTGTGTGTGTGGTGTATCTATGTGATATGTGTGTGTATGTGTGTGTCGTGTATCTATGATATGAGTATTGTGGTGGGTGTGTATTTGGTTTAGCTTATGTGTCTTAACATATGAGGGACTAAAGTTATTCAAGGTGACTGCATCACCATGTGCAGAAGACTTTTGGGGAATCAGTGACCCTTAAGCTCCACAGAGAAAAGGGGACTTAGGAAGCATCTGAACTGGAAGATTGTCCCAGTGAATCACAGTTCCCTCAAGGTGTGGTCTGGTTTGAATAGTCCAAATATCTTTACCCTCCACTTTCAGTTGCCTCTCCTCCAGGTTTGGTTTTGTGCATATACAGCTGGTAGCCAGTGCTCCAAGATTTTCCACCTGATCGAGAATCACATTTTCTTAGGTCTTGGATTTTTATCATATTTTCAACCCATGATCATATTGTTACTGTCAAGAGAAGTTTTGAAGACCTAATTGAAAATAATAATGACATGACTTTGAGAAAATCAAAAGGGAGGGCATGAAGGTGGGCTCAGCTTCATCACAGTCCTTGAAGGGCGAGCAGCCTTTATGGCTGGTGACAGATGTAGAGAAATCAGACAGAATCGAAGCATGGGAAAGGTGCCCTTGCTGACTTTGAAGACAAGGAGCTACATAGAAGAGCTTGAAAGAAGCCTCTTCATGCTGAGCGTGACCTCTGATCAACAGCCGGCAAGGAAGCAAGGCTTCTGCCCTATGGCTGCATGAGACAGTTCACTCATTGCCAACCACCAGAAACAACTTAGAAGTGGCTTCCTCCAGAGCCCTGCCATGCCGACACTGGATTTCAGATCAGAAGTAGAGAACCGAGTCATCTGTATCGACTGCTGACCCACAGAACCGTAAGGTG